CACAACAAACGATTTAGACGTATGCAAGTAAGTTACTCTATGATTCTACGTCGTGACATTCATTTCTGCTTTGTTGTGTTTAGTGTTGAACACTTGAATCACAGTCCGTCGAGTCACTTTACAAATCAGAATGAAACAAATTTCTTGCTTTATCTTCTACTCATATGTGACATCATAAGAGATTGTTCGGATGCATGCAGAGAACATGCAGCACTTTATCAGCAACAGTTATTGGCCCTGTGACGTCGTGGTAAAATGTCTGGCAGAAATAGATAGACTATTTTACTAAAAGTTGAAAAGGGGTTTTATCTATTTATCTAAAAAAATATATTTAATGATCTGCTCACCAACCTTGCGCCGAGAGTGCAACTTTACTAGGGGGTCCGGGGCGTGCTCCCCTTAAAAGTTTTGAAATCTAGACCCTCTGAAATGCTATTTCCTGCATTTTGAGGGACATGTCTTGCTGACACAAAAGATTTCAGCATGATTTTGGAGGGGCAACGCCCCAACATCTATTTCGAGGGGCGACCCCCCCCCCCCGGTCAGTCCACCCCGTGCCACCGCCACTGTCCTTCTCCAGACTGAAGCAATTTGATACGTACTGTACATGCTGTAACACAAAAACGCGCATAAGAGCGGTTTTTGTACAGGGTTATACACGTACGTGTTTAGGTTTATTAAAATCGAAGAGAAAACTATACAGGCATTCTTGTTACCAATGTAATAAGATAGACGCAACGCCAATATCTAAATTTATTTTCGAATCAGGCTCCCCGGCAAACCCGTCGTGAAATCTCCGGTTGAACTCTGTATCATACATTACGTTCAAAATTGATAGGGTCGTTTTTGATATTTAATTTACTGAAAATGCGTTATTTCTTTTAGCAAAAATATCGTGTTTGGCGTGTTTGAGACAATACAATATTGTTATGTGAGATTCAAGCATGGGGCCCCATGCGCCAAATCGAATGGCCCCGGCATAACACGCAGTGATTCCGTAATAATAATCACCAACGAACAACAACAATGTATTAAGTCATAACAACCTACTAAAGGAGGTTAAAGGTTACAACAACAACAAAAATTACAGACAAAAATTAATCAAACTACAATGGCTAATTGTTTAAAAGACAATTTATATTCATAATTAAAATGGCTGTAACAGTTCCAAATTTAAACCTATTATCGTTTTGTAAAAAGTTAAACGTAGTGCATAATATGGAGATCCCGTCATTACTTTTTTTTCACCATGTGTCTTTTTGATTATCTATGTACACCATTGCTAAATCTTGCTAAGCATTCAAAGGAGAGAATGTTTGTACCAGTTTCTATATTTTAAAATCGTCTTTTGAGTATGTTCCACTATTCACAATGCTGTGAAATTTTAACAGTATAACCAAGACTGTTTCGATAATAAAAAGCAAAAAAAAAGAAAATTCACAGTCAAGTGCCCGCGAACCTGCATCTATACATTAATGTCCTAATATAGATAGATAGAATAGCAACTAGTCAAATATACCTACACAAGCACAATCAATAAAAATCATGTGACACAATATCTAGTTGGACAGACACCAGTGTTCTTATCACATGCTGCATTGTATTTACAATGACAATTATAGTTACATAATTCACTATGGAAACCAGTGAGTTGAAATACAAACCTTGTTTATAGCTACAAAGTAGAATTGCTGAAACTCACAATCTCCATTTGGGCAGACACCAGTGTTCTTATCACATGCTGCATTGTATTTACAATGACAATTATAGTTACATAATGTACATGCCGGAAT